TATATATATATATATATATATATAAAGTCTGAATTGTGAGACAGAATTACGAGATAAAAAGTCATAGTTACCTTTTCTATTTTTTATATTCTGTAGCGGAAACAGGCTTTCATAGTCAAAAAATCTTAATATTAAGTCTTATTTCTTATTAAAAGTCTTGTTAAAAACTGCTATTTCTGAACTGAATTTTATAGCATAAATTGTTAAAATATTATGTTAGTAAGTGTATGAAAGAAAACAAATGATTCATTCAAAAAATAGATTTGCTTGCAAAAATTAGGATACCATGTTACTTTTACATGAATATTTAAAGAAATTTTAAAAACTTAAAGCACTTTATCGAGAGCAATTTTTAGTAATTCTTAGTGATTTTCCACTGTGTGGAACTATAAAAACATTTATATTTTTCTTTTGATGATTGTTTTTACATTATTTATTTTTTCATTTATTTAACCTTTTTCCTAAATTCAACCCAATTCTATTAATCAGAATGATGGTCATGAGGTTTCCAATAAGTACAATAGTTTCATTTTCACTGCATTCATGTGTATAACACAAGGCAGAAAGCAAAAGAGACAGAAAGAAATGAGGAAGAAAGCTTTCTGCATGGCCTGAACAAGGAAGTACATGTTATTCACACATTAATGCACATGTTATGAATAAATAATGAAAGTGCAGGCAGACGTCTCAGTCTTTATCAAACAGCACAGACGTACCAGCTGTGTAAATACATCTATGAGCCACAAGGAGAAGCACAGACAATGAAATAATTTAAAATATATTTTTATTTCCATACGCATTTTTACATTTGAGGCTTCATTAACATTAATTCTAACTATTGAGGAAATGTGCTTTCATTATGTATATTTGTGCAAGTCTATTTTTAATGTCACTTTCCAATACAATTACCCAAAGCAATCATAATTTGTATTTTGCAAACTGTTTAACTCCAAAATTAGTCTGCTGAGCTGTGCTTGATTTCTGTTTCCATTATTCCGCTGGGCACTCGTTGGTGTTTATGGGGCCGAATATGCTTGTTATGTCATCAAATGTGATAGGATTTTGATTAAGCCGCACGTTTCTCAAACACCCCACATAAGATGCCCGCATTTCCACTTCTTCGCTTTGATTCTCTGCATTAACAGAGACAGAAATTTAAATTATTATGCCTTTCTTGAAAGAAAAGAGGCATTTTTGTTACATCAAAGCTGGCTTTACCTGAAATGCCACCGATGTAGATCGTTTCATGCGATGGAGGAAGGTATACAGACTTTTGTCTCACCCGTGAGGACACTTCGTCCACTCTTAGCTCGATAGTTTTCCTCCGCATGGACACTGAAATGAATGAAACCTCACATTTGTTGTAACAATTATCATTTATAATCTACTTTAATTAGAAAAAAGCAGTAAAATAGTACCTGTCACATAGTGAAATGCATCACAGAGGGGTCTTGTTGGGGTCAATGCGGTGCCATAGCGGCGCTGTCCATTGTACGCTGTTAACACCACCTAATAAGCATAATCCACACATATTGCATACTGTATGTGATACTGAACATAATTATAAAATTAACGTCCAGTAACAGGACTGAAATGTACTTAATGCAAGTATATTAATGCAAACACGAAGTGTGTGCAATCTCAGTGTTGCCACAAGGGGCGCTAGCATGCATTAGCAAAGACTAGGGCACTATTTGAGGGAACAGCCATTTTTAGTGGTGTCCGAAACCATAGTGGACGTTCTCGAGTGCACTCATTCAATCCCACAATGCACTGCAAAAACGAGTGTACAACTGGTGCACGCTCAACGGCTAGAGAATGCCCATAATGCACCGTGAGAGTCACGCGCCGAATGAATTCCCGCATCTCGCCAGAAGATGGCGCCCGCAGCTGAATAATCAATCCGTTCATTTTTACAAAGCGCTCATCCATGGCGTACAGCATAATGTACAACACGGGTATAAATTCATTGTAAATTGATTATTAAATTGTTTGATTAGGGTTTATACATAATTTCCGTGACAGAGTTCAAGATAAATCCTTTAATCTTACTGGAGCTGCTAGTTTCAAATGATTAATAAACAGCAAGCACAAACTATGCAAAAGCGGCATTCCTTCCGGTGCACTCAGTATCCGAATTCACTACTCGTTTTCATTCACTCCTTCTAGTGAACTGAATTAGTGACCTAATGTAGGGAATAGTGAATGAGGGTATAGGGGGCGATTTCGGACACAGCCTAGGTCTTGTTCACTAATAATATTGTGAATAATTATATTTATACACACAAGAGAACTTTTTGCCCGAAGCGTGAATGAAAGGATGATGGCAAATGATTTGCAGATCCTGAGCACCACTGACAAACTAATCTTGTACAATGTGTGGTAAATACTGCCGCTCCGTAGTATATAGTACGTGTGATCACGAATCTCGAAAGTGAAAGTAAAAAGAGAGCGCCCATTCAAAAGTGGTTTCAGTGCCCTGCATATTAATAACGGCTCCCTGATGCCTGCAATTTATATACAGTATAATTACCCAACGATATAATTGTGAGAGAAAGCATTGAAATATATTTTTTCCCTCCCATCTCGTATTTATTCCCTTTAGTGGTTCCGTAGTACACGTCATTTCCTTTCCGAACACGGTATTGGGATGCGGCGGATTGTGGGAGAGGGGGTGGGGGGAAGGAATCACGATGCCGGATCAACATCCTGATGTCTGTCAGCCATCGGCGATGGATGATGGCATTGTCTATCGGCCCAACCCTAGTTCCTATATTTTTTGTTACAATAAGTTACAATAAATTTAAATCTGCATGCAAACATATTTACGAACAAATCATGATTCATTGGTAATTTCGTACTAAAATTCACGTACGCTTAGTGAATGAGACCCACTGTCTTCTTCTATGGCAACATTTAGAAAAGAATCTTAGTGATTGTTAGCAAGAAATGTCAAAGCGTTAAAGGGACAGTTCACCCAAAAATGAAAATTCTGTCATTAATTATTCAGCCTCATGTCGTTCCAAACCCGTAAGACCTTTGTTCATCTTCGGAACACAAATTAAGATATTTGTATGAAATCCGAGAGCTTTCTGACCCTCCATAGATAGCAACGCAACTGATATGTTCAAAGCCCAGAAAGGCAGTAAGGACATCGTTAAAACAGTCCATGTGACATCAGTGGTTCAACTATAATTTTATGCGTGTGCATTCCTCTGATTAAAAACAAGGCGCAGCGCATCCGGGTCCTACGTCAGAAGGCCGGCTCCTGTGTCAGCAGCACCACATGCATGTGTCGTGGTACTCTCGAAAAATAAAAATATTCTTAAACCATATTTTCATTCACCTTTCCTTTCTTGAGAAACAGAGTGAGTGTCCGTCCACGGTTATCGATTTTGTGGAAGACTAGGCCGGTGAGGTTCTTGGGCCGAAATTCAAAATCCAGGTTGTATGTAGAACCAAAGATAAGGTGCTTTTCTGCCAAACAAAAACATTTAATTAATTTTCTGAATGTCTTTTTCTGTCACTAAACACATGTAAAAACATAAAGGACCAAACCTAAGACCAAATGTGCGCCATTTCCAGCAAAATAGGCTCCCTTCTCTGTCACGCCTTTGAAGCAGGGTGTAACCCCACGACTGACAGCTGGATCCACAAGGAGAACCTTAGAAACCTTTATGTCTTGAATGCATCCGATTATACTCTTCTGAGGCACTTTTTCCTGAGAAAAAAAGTGTTATGCAACTTTAACAGAACAGAAGACTTGTGGTTAAGCAACATGCTGAAATAGGGAAGTTACACGTTCATACTTGTGTTTTGTGAAGCATCTGAAATTTTCCGTGTCCCACATAGACAGGAGATTGCAGATCATGTGTGAATCCTTTCAACGAATGTCCATCGGGTGTTTGAACGCCATCCACCACTAGATGAAAGTTGTGTTGCTTCATGCTGGACTTGATCTGTACGCACAACATAAATTAAAACTTGGGATTTTGGAAACAGTTACGGAAACACAACATTTGACTTTTGCTACATACATTGTGCCAGTCACCATCATTTATCTTCTGAGAGGAGATTAATTCATCTGCCCCAACAGAGAGTTTGACTTTTCCTTTATCGAAATACAAGATCACAAGAGGAACGCCATATTTCCCTGAGACATGGAGTAAAAGTCCTTCAGATGATTTGGTACGGACATCTAGGGAGAAATGCAGCCTGTAGGAAAAGGAAGATCCCGTAAATGTGCTACAAAATGAAGTATTAATATGTAATTGACACCATTTACCTGTTATTGAGCTTCTCTGGATCTATTTTAAACTGCATTTGGCTGTTGGAACCAAGGTGGTAGGTGTTTTTGATGGACTTTGGGTTTCTACAGCCTTGTTTAGATCTTCCCTTTTAAAAACAGCAAAACGTAAGAGTATAACAAATGACATATTACATTTTTAATTTTAGTACAAAATTACCAATGAATCATGATTTGTTTGAAAATATGTTTGTATGCAGATTTCAAATAAGCTTAGTGAATGAGACCCACTGTCTTCTTCTATGGCAACATTTAGAAAAGAATCTTAGTGATTGTTAGCAAGAAATGTCAACATGTTAAAGGGTTAGTTCACCTAAAGATGAAAATTCTGTCATTAATTATTCACTCTCATGTCATTCCAAACATGTAAAACCTTCATTCGTCTTCAGAACACAAATTAAGATATTTTTGATGAAATCCGAGAGCTTTCTGACCCTGCATAAACAGCAACGCAACTACCACATTCTAGGCCCATGTAAAATAAAATAGTCCATGCAACATCAGTGGTTCAACCTTAATGTTAAAGCTATGAGAATACTTTTTGTGCTCAAAGAAAAATAAAAGACTTTATTCAATAGTATCTTCTCTTCTGTGTCAGTCTACGACGCACGTTCACGAGAGTACCACGACACATCTGTGTGGTGCTGCTAATGCCGGAGCTGGCATAGAAGGGAAGGTACATCTCTCTTAGTTCATGGTCTATATCAGGGGTGGCAAACGTCGGTGCTGGAGAGCCGCAGCCCTGCAGAGTTTTGCTTCAACCCTAATCAAACACACCTGAACGATCTAATCAAGGTCTGAACAGTTACTAGGAAGCTACTGTCACGATGTCACACACACGAGGGACGAGGAGACGCTGGAGAATGCTTTTAACAGGACTTTATTGGAACCAAGGGAGACGAACACAGGAAGACCTTCACCGGAAGACGTACAACAGCGGACCGAGAAGTAGGGACTGGGAACACTTTAAATACACACAGGAGGAGGGGATCACGAGACACACCTGGGAGCAATGACACATCATGGGGAACACCTGGGACAAATGAACTAAACTAATCAGGGGAGGAACAGGAAACTAATCAAATAAGGGCATGGGAAGGCACATGGGGAGCAGGACACACACAACACATGGAACAGAGTCTGACAGCTACAGGCAGGTGAGTTTTAATTAGGGTTGGAGCTGAACTCTGCAGGGCTGCGGCTCTCCAGGAGCCAGGTTTGCCACCCCTGGTCTATATATTTTGGTTCGAGTAAGTAAGGCTGGGCAAAAAATTCTTAGACATGTTTACGAAGACTGTTTTATGTACAGCGTGACACAAAAGAGAATTTTTGAAAAGTCATTATTTTTGTTTTCTCTGTGCACAAAAAAGTATTCTCGTAGCTGCATAAAATTACGGTTGAACCATTGATGTCACATGGACTATTTTAACGATGTCCTAACTAACTTTCTGGGCCTTGAACGTGTCAGTTGCATTGCTGTCTATGCAGGGTCAGAAAGTTCTCGGATTTCATCAAAAATATCTTAATTGGTCCCACTTTATATTAAGTGGCCTTAACTACTATGTACTTACATCAAAAAATAAGTACAATGTACTTATTGTGTTCATATTGTATTGCAAAACACTTTTGCTGCTATTGAGGTGGGATATGGGTAAGGTTAGGGACAGGTTTGGTGGTATGGGTAGGTTTAAGGGTGGGTTAAGTTGTAAGGGATGGCTCAACGGTGTTGGTACAGAAATTAATTACAGATGTAATTACATGCAGGTATTTTTTAAATAGAAGTACAATGTAAAAACATGTATGTACACAATAAATACACTTAAAATATGTATTTGTTGCACAATGTTTAAAGGTGCACTATATTTTTCTCTTAACGTTTCACTGACACAGTCTTGTACTCAATACTGACATCTAGTGGTGTGGAGGCCGTTTTATGCAAGAACAAAACTTTTCAGTTGGCATTGTAAAAAATACTCTATTCATAGGCAAGTCTACCATAACTTATTTTGCAACTGAAATAATAGGGGGTGCTACAGTAAAATTAGTATAGTTCTGCTAGTCATGTGATCACAACATGGCGGCCACCATAAGATGGCCCTGCTTTATGTAGAAAAAAACAACATTAGTGTAGCAATAAAAGCCGATTTACAGTAAATGCACTAGTGAAACCTCCATAAAAATGTACATTTGCCTCACATCTTCCATTTTGAGTGCTTTTCTCATCATCTCCTTTCCTGATGTCACTAATCATTTGTTTAGTGCGTCCAAACTGCACCTTTAATACGGAGTTTGATAATGTGAAATACCGAATTGCTGTTGAGTGTAATTCCAGCATGTCTGGCACGCTTCTTAGTAGAGTCCAGAGGGGGGCGCTCTGCTTTACAAAATCCCAGAGATACATTTCCAGTCTGATTGAATCTGCTCAAATCGGCCGGAATGTATTCGGTCTGTAGACTGAACCATAAGGCTATTATGAGTGGCTTATTCCTGTTATAAGTTATGATAACACAATAAAGCAAATTATAACATCAAACCTCCGTATATACAGGTTCCTCAAACAGCCTTCAAATAAACCATCCCCTAAAATCACATTTTCCCCAAGTTCAGTGAATGTGGATGATGGTGATGGTGGTGGTGGTGGATTTCCAATATCTGTGTTGTCAACGTTTAGCCGCATCCTGATGGGAAAAGTTCAGCATGAAGTGTTGAAAAGCATCTTTGCACGCAAGTTATTTTCATATAAAATGTTCATCTTACCCCGCTCCACTTCTGTAGGCTGTTATGTAATGCCATTTTCCAGTTTCGCATTTGTTTGTGGATGTTAATTTTTTCTTATTGACACTCATTTCAACATAGCCGTCATTCAAAGACAGCAAAAACTCATTATTCTGAAAACCAAAGGAAAACATCAAAAAATCTCTTAATTTTTTCTCTATTTTCTTGAAATTAAATATCTAAATATAAAAATATATTAATAGGGCCTATATAATTATTAAATAAATATATAACTATTATAACAGAGGTTCAAATTAGAAGCATCAAAAATAATATAGCCAACTCAGAACCCTTTATATGGAAAAAATTGTTCTTGATCAACTAACCATTCCACCAGTCAGTATTAAGGGTGAAACATTCTCCTGGGATATCTTAAATCCAAGTGAAACCATTGTCCCTGAGTCTGTATCCTTAACAGGAGGTGACAGAGAGAGAGAACTCCCAAATTTAAAAGTAGCCTCTCGGGAACCCTGAAAACAAGCAACCAGAAACAGTTCAGATGAATTTTCTCCTGATACACAAACATCGCCAAGTAATCCACCAAAACTGTCTTACCAGTAAAGGATTTGGACAACCTCGGACGATTCCAACTTCCTCTGTAAAAGAAGCAGTGACATCTACATGGACGTTATTGACACATCCTCTAAGTGGCGGAAGAACAATATTATATCTGGAGGCAGAAAAATATAATATTATGAAAACATGTCTGGGTCACTTTTTCCTCTGTCCTTAACCATAATCATGCAAAGCCGAAGAAGTGCACCAATAAACAAACATAAAAGAGAATAAAAGTACTTTTCCCGGACTGCAGCTGGAACACCCCCGATGTAGGCCTCCTCAAAAAACCCTTTGACGTTTCCAAAAAAAATGTTGATGTTGTCTGTGACGGTTATTGATGCTGGTCTATCTTCATTCAGAATCATTTTGATATGGATGAAGTTTGTCTATAGGAAGAAATGGGATATAATGTATTGACATAGGAATATAATAAGCAATAATAATATATTAATATTAAAAAATTAAGGAAATAGTTACTTACTAGGGGAAATACTTTTAATTGTGACTTTTCAAAAATTTTTGTGTAATTGTTTTTTCCTTTCAAAACAATATAGCCTCCTTCAAATGTAACTAAGAAGTGCAAGGTCTGTAAAAAAACACTTCTGACATGAAGCATCAAGAAACTATTGTGTCATTTTTTAATAGCTGGATTGAAATGCTAGATTTTGGTGTATGATGTGTTAAACTTGGTAATGTGAATCAAATCTTTCGTAAGTCTTTACCTCGCTTCCCACATAAAAAAGCACTGCATCCATTTGATGACTCCTAACAAAGAACTTAATAAGAGAGTTCCCACGTGATACAGCAACCTTTCCGTAACCTGTGCCATCGAAATAATCCCCCAACATGTGGACTTTTCCCCTAGGGATGGAATATAGAAACAATGACTCTAAACTTTGAAGTAGAGATCAAGACCTCATCTGTAAGAAAACCAATGTCTGATGGCTTACGATAACATTATCAAGTACCTTTGACACGTGTCAGTTTTTGTGATGTTGATGGCACGCTTAAAGTTGTACAAGCCAAGGATACGATCATTTAACGTAGAAAACTCAATACAACCCTTGTATCCTGGGTACCGAAGCTCTTCAGGTGGCTAGAAGGCCAAATTCAGAATATATAGAGAGGGGAAAACAATTTTTTAAAATCGTAAATGCATAGTTTGAAAAAAAAACAGGAAAAAAGCCTGAGAACTGAGAAGAAAGTATAGTCGAAATAGTTATTTTTCAACTCTTTTGTTGACTTATTTACCTCAAAATCTTCTGGGTATCCACCTACATATAAGACAACCTCATTGGGATCCAGATCAAGCAATCCGTTCATGTCGCTAGGCTTATTAATCATGGGCGGCAGCACTTTGGGTTCAGTTGAAGTGAAAGTCTCTGTGTATATGACCTGCGCATCTTGATAAACTCTGATTTGGGAATTAAAAAAGGCACAAATGGTTTTCAGAAATGCAAGTGTATGTAATCTGTGGAGATCTACAATGACAAATGGAGTTTACCTGCGGAAATCCACCCTATCCATAAAAGCTTTGTCATTGTTGGACTTGGTGATTTCGCTGGTCTTTATCTCATAAAAACGGCCACCCACTTTGTAGACACAAAACAGGACACCATTCTTCACAACCAGGCCAATGAAATCCCTGACTGTCTGTTGATTATGAGAACTACAAGTAAAACAATGCACTACATATACACTGATGCATCCCTAATAAACGAAGTAATCAAAGTCCTCCTCACATGCTTATTTCCAAGATAAAAAACAAACTGGTTGTCTTCAACACCCAGTTGGCGTCTACGTCTTCCATCGCCTCGAGCTTTTGGTTGGTGCAGAGTAAGATTGAGAGCAGTAAAGGTTCGGAAGTCTTCTAGGTCTTTAGGAGGTCGAAGTTCAATGTGAGCATCACTAGAAAACAAGATCGGCCCCCTGATCTAGAAACGTAAGAGAGAAGCAAGGAGATAAACATCTGGAGGCGGCTGGAGAAACATCTCCTCTGCTTGCATGAGAACTCACCCTGTTGGCCGCGTCTCTGGTCTGTTCGATCAAGTCTTTGATTTTCTGGATGCTGTTGGAGATGTTGGCTGAACTAGGCATGTGCTCGCTTTGGTTCTCCACTTCGTTTAGTTTGTCAATCAGTGAAGGGAAAGACTGATCCAGTTCTGTCACTGTAAAAGATTATGAGGATTTAGCGTTCAGTGATGTTCCCCCGAATTAAAGAAGCCAGGATAGAGACTTATATGCTCATACTTTGTTTGACAGATATCTTTGAACTCTGAATAATGTGCATTATATCAACTCAAGGTCTCTGGAAAGTAGAATTGAGGAGACTGACATGTTTTGTTGACACCATCAAGTAAGTTGTTCAGGTTTGAATCTTGAGAGGAAATCTTGATTTTGGCAAGTTCTTCACTGATGTTTTGCATTCTGGTTATTGCATCGCCTGCTGTGGCGTTCACATCTGCAGCACCTTCCTTGGCTTGGTTGATGAGGACACGAATATCATCTAAAAAATCAAACCACCCAAGTGTTCATCTGACAAGACCATGATGATATTTATTGTGGAAAAATGTTTGAGCGAAATGAGCTTCTCACCCCTTTTGATGTTGTTCATCCTCTCCAACACATCTTGCAAGACTTGCTTCAGGGTGTTCTGTTTGTCTTTGGCCTGCTGGATCCAGTTCTTGTAAGCTTCACATTTTTGCGTGACATCTGTAGATGAGAGTTTTGTTACTAAACAGCACAACATGCCTGTGAAAAACCCATGAATTCATATGATTTCTAGTTGATTTTGTTTGGTTCCAGGCTAAAACCTGGAAACGAGTTAGCATTTTAGCACTTCAGGTTCCATTGTCCTGAAGTCAGTAAGCTCATCTACTCACTAGTCTGCTTTTACAGCCTCATTGTGATTGCGCTCTTCCAAACTATTCTAACCTTTTTTTAAATAAACACTGAAAGAGTTGTCAAAAGATAAATGGCGGTGACGTTGAAGTCCTGCGACTGTGCTCTATTGCTCTGGATGCTATTTTATGGTTTGCTGCAGTTGCATTAAATGTGACAATGGCAACCTTCTAGCTGTATCTCCACTTCCTTGGCCTTCACCAGCAGAGTATTTGCAAAGTTTTTCAAATCATTGGCTTTATTTTGTAGATCTTGTCCTTGCACATCCTGGGACATGAAATTCAAAGAAACAGAGTAAGTTGGATTTAGGAAGAAAAACTAGATTTTTAATAATTTATTAAAACTTTAAAATGTAATAAAAAAAAAATCTATATACTTTTTTCATACTGTACATTATAATGTCATGATGACTAAATTCAATTGTAGCATTTAAAACAATTGATTTTGAGTTTAATATTTTAATATCGACCATTTATCATCACTTATACCTCAAAAGCCTGGTCTGCCACTTCTTTAGCGTGTTTGGCCGCAGCTTCCGCCTCCTTTATGGCATCAATGACGTCTGTAAATGCTTTGATGGCTTCGATTGCTTTCTGAACAGCGGTTGAATTGGTGATGCTCCATATGAACCTACAAGACACATTCAGTCATTAAAATGTCATGAAAAACAAAAAATATAGTTTCAGGATCTTTAGAGGACTTACATTTGAAAGTCCATAGCCAGCTTCATAAGTTCCTGCGCATGCTCCTCAGCCTGTCTCACAATTCCCGCCTTAGCGGTTGCATTGGCGAGCAGCTCAAGTTTTGCTTCTAGTTCGTTTTTTGCTCCGTCAATCAAAGCTGCTAGATGAGTCATTTCCTGGCAGAGAACAAAAAGTTAAGTATCCAAACTGGTGAACGTTTTACAAAAGAATATCATTATTTGTCACCTTTGTTAGGTCAGCCATCATTTTCTGGAACTCCGAAGTCTCTTTTAGTGTCTCTCTGGTCATGTTCACATTGGCCATGATATTTCTTTGATTTTTCCTCAATACCTTTAACTGTTTCTGTTGAACAAACAATCAATGAAGGTGTGAACAAATAAAGAATCTTATACTGCAGTGGTTCTCAAAGTTGGTCAAAAAAGTTTGAAAACCACTGTTTTACAGCACTGAGGACAGTCGCCAAGTATTATTATTTGATTACCAAAATATTTCTCAGCTGTTCCTCGTTGAGTTTATTCACAGCATTGGCCTTGATCACATCAAGCTGTGCATCTATAAGCGCCTCTTGTATATCTTTAAGATCTTCTGCCTGATCCATGAGTTTTTGTCTAATACGATCAGTCACTACCAAGGAGCCATTCAGAGGAACCATCAGGTCATTCAAGATGAGGTTAAGTACTGTAAGAGAAACAAGCACGCTTGAAACCATGAAGGAGCTTGGTTACTACTAAGGATCCTAAAACAAAGTCCTAATTTAGGGTTGTCCATTCTGGCTCCTAGAGGACGAATGTCCAGCAGAGTTTAGCTCCAGCCCAAATAAAACCCATCTAAGGGCCAGATTCACTAAACAGGGCAAATTAGCGTTAGAGCGCAATTCCATTAAAGCGCCAATGGGAGTGGAAAATTCTGCGGGTGATTTACTGACAAGGTGCACATAAAAGAACACAGATGTAACATCTCATTTCCATAATGACCAGCACAATCTACTAAGAGCAGCACAAATTACCGCCTGCTTACAGACATGCTTTTTTTGGGGGGCTTTAAATAATGCCACAAATATCAGTGAATTGACGAGTGCAAATCTTAGTAAATTGCATTGTGTGATTTCTTTTAAAACTCTCCTCCCATAAATTTACAGATCGAAAGGGAAACTTCTACAAACGCATATTCAATAAGGTGAGTCGCAAAAATAAATGTGTCCACGCCTTTTCATCGCTAATTTCCCACTGCGTGTCTTTAGTAAATCCTGACACTGGTTTTTTTAACGCCAAATGAGGGTTTGCACTGGTGCAAGCTACTCAGCTACTCAAGGTCTTCTACTGGAAACTTCATGCAGCTGTGTTGGGACACGTTAGAGATAAACTCTGCAGGACGTTGGCCCTCCAAGATTATGCACCCATGTTTTAATTGATCTGATTCAGAAGCAATTGACCCACGTGTTCGTGCTTTTCTGAGCTCCTCGTTAGCCAGTTCTCTCTGAACCCTACAGCTTTGTCTTCGCATCTTCACCAGCATCCATCGGGCTTCTTTTATCATCCTGGTGGCCTCCTCTGTGTTCCCACCAGTGTGGTTGGATCGCTTCAACTCTTCCAAGAACTCTATGTGGGTCAAGATGGAAAAGTGCAACTGGTGAGCAAGATGGAGAAAGACATTTCAAGAAGAAATTGGCTTTAAAATCTCAGTCAGATCTAGTGGGTTCACCTTGTATCTTTCGTAAGAGTTTCACACTCTCAGATCGTAGGTTGTCCCCTCTTTGATAGGTTTGGTCCAGAGTCTTTAACAACTGACCTGCAGTACAGAACATCTCAATTGCCTGTTGAAACAAACAAAAGTTGTTCTTGTAATTCTAGGTCAGGTAATGACGACAATGGATTTCATGCTCCATTTTATGTACTACATGAATATAAACCACCATAAACAGTAACGGTACCTTGTCATTGAGAACAGTGAGGTCATCTATGATACTTTCAAGATCAGATTCAAGCTCCAAAACCTTTGGTTTCAATGCAAAGACAGATTCGGAGTACTTATGGACCAAAACCTAAAGAAGCGAAAATGATTGTCAAAAAAACCCCGATGTGTTGAAATACTTGGTGTTTCAATGTCATTCCAAAGTGTTGGTGTGGAAGATTCTTGTAGAGACCTTTGTACCAGCAATTGCATCTTCAAGTTTTTCCAGTCCTGTGTGTGAAGTAGCATTTCGACTATAAAACTCGAGTTGAGTCTTCAGTTTGGAGAACTCATCATCCATCGCATCAAGATCATCCATTAACTTAATGACGCAGGTATCGCACTCTAACAGGAAAAAGACCGGAGTAAGTCAAACCTAATCAACCCTGTCATTCATTGTCACATTGCCTATGAATAAATATAACATGATTACTGAAATATACAAACAGCCCTGAGGCCCCATGCAGGAATATATAGGCCCACAATATTATGAAATATTTTTCACACAATTTTTAAGAATTTTTTGAGGAACAAACCGAGGCAGTTGCCAGTGTCCGGGTCATCGGCCTCAAAACAATCTATGAGAACAAAGAAATGTGAATTTCAACGTCTTCAAAACATTAATTAAAATATTTGTATTATTTTATTTATTTTTTAACCAGTCTAAATTTTATATTATTATTATTATTATGTAAATCAGGAGCGCTTGCTTACTGTCACATTCTGAGTTTGTGTGTGCTTGTTTGGCTCTGTTTTTTATCTGTTTTCTTGTCTTGTCTTGTCTTGTTTATTTTAGTACTGTGAGCAGTTTTCTAGTTTGGTAATTAGTTCATGCTCCCACTTGTTCATTGCCTGTTTAGTTTCTATAGCTACTAATTGATTGAGTACTCTGTTAAGGTGCTGCTTGTTTAGTTCTTGTTTGGTTGCTCTATTTATGTCTTCAGTTTCTCCTTAGTCGGGGTCTGGTATTGAAGGTCATTGTCTAATAGTATTGTAGAAGTATTTCTCCTGTAATCTACTGTGTTTATGTTGGTGAATTTAAATAAAGGACCTTGGATTTTTGCATCTTCTTCATTGAGTGCTTATCTCTGCACTACATCTGTGACAGAATACCAGACCATCAAGGAATTGTAAGGTATGGATTACCTAATAGAAGTGAGCAGTGCAGAGGAGAAACTATGCTCCATTTATCAAGATGGATGTCCAGTGGAGTCTTATGTAGACTCCATATGTCTACGTGGGATGACGTTCAACTTATGGTTTGTTTTTGGAGTGTCCTGGACTCTTAATTTTAGCTGGCTGATGCCAGGGGGTGACTCAACCTGGACCCTAGCTCAATACTTGGAATATGCCCTATTGTTGAGTGGCTCCCCATTTACAGTGGGAATTGCTGACAAGGAACCCTGAAATTCCACAGTGTCCATCATGCCTTGTCACATCATGGCCTACAAACTAGAGACTTCAGCCATCATGCCTGCCACCAGATCCATCTTGGGGTGGAAGGGACTAGCATCCAGTGTGGCAGATCCACTGCTGATGTCAGCACGATCAGCAAACATCCCAAGGCCTGAGTCCACTCCAGAGTCCACTCCAGCCCACAAATTTACTCCAGAGTGTCAGCCCAGTCCTGAGACTGTTAAAACCTCAGCCCGAAAGAGGAGAAGGAGGAAAAGGAGACGGTCCTCCATGACTCCAGCCCCTGAGTCCGCTCCAGTGTTGGCTCCAGCCCCTGAGTCCGCTCCAGAAAGTACTCCAGAGTCCGCTCCAGCCCCAGAACTCAGCCAGGAGAGCATTGGACTGTCCATAATAGCACTAGCATTTGTGTGTGTCTGGGCCACTCACACATTGGCTCCAGCCCCTGACCAGAGTCGGTAATTAGTTCATGCTCCCATTTGTTCATTGCCTGTTTAGTTTCTATAGCTACTAATTGATTGAGTACTCTGTTAATGTGCTGCTTGTTTAGTTCTTGTTTGGTTGCTCTATGTCTTCAGTTTCTCGTTAGTCGGGGTCTGGTATTGAAGGTCATTGTCTAATAGTAGTGTAGAAGTATTTCTCCTGTGATCTACTGCGTTTATGTTGGTGAATTTAAATAAAGGTCCTTGGATTTTTGCATCTTCTTCACTGAGTGATCTCTGAGATCTCTGCACTACGTCTGTGACACTTACCACCTGTTAGCGGGTCACATACATAACCGTGGTCACAGTCACACGGCTGACAACTTCCTCTTTTCACTAAAGGATTGCCATAGTATCCAAGCGCACACCTAAAATGAGTGAATTTCTTAAAAACATTCATGCAAACTTTCATGTGTTTTAATTAAATTATTTCAGTCACATATAAATGTGTGTATATATTTATATTTTTTTAAAGACACCTTTCACATCGAACTCCAGCGTAACCAGGTTTGCACAAACACTCAAACTCATCTCCAACCCTGAGACATCCCACTGCAAAACTGCACAAAATATTAATAAACAATATTTTAATTAATTTAAAAAAATTAAATAAGCAATAAAATAATTAAACAATAAAAACAATACTCAATAAAATATTTAAACAATAAAAATGAAATTAATTAATAAAATAAGTAGGTGAATTAAGTTATGTTTTTCTGCTTTAACAAAAGCGAATCTGTCATGTATGTATTTTTTTAATGATTAGATGATGTCGTACCTGTTGGATGGGTCTGCTAAGGGACATGGACACATACAACAGGTTCTCATAACAGCACTGCCGTAATAACCCTCCATACAACGCTCACAGTGGTCGCCGGCTGTATTAAAATGGCAGTTCTGCAAATACAACATCATTTCAGTGTGACAACACAAAAAATGAACTGAACACAAAACAATAAAAGTGGAGATGCATTACTCATAAAAGTTGACATTACTGATGTTATGATTAAATTCATATGATCACAAATATGGTCTTAATGACATGTTATTGTAAATGGATGTAAAATATCACTGTTATCACAACAGATTAACAACCTACAAATAATATATAAAATATATAATAATATCGAAAATAAAATATATAATATAAAAATAAATAAATATACAATAAAATGTTGTATAATATATTTATTTATTGTTTTTATTATTGATTTGTATATTTCATAATATGTGGCTGGATGAAAATTGCACTACAAGCCTGGACGAAATTCCTTTTATCTGACATTCACATCCATAATCTGTGAAACATCTTTTCACGTACAAGGCACATATAGTAACAAAAAATGAAGGGCATATAATAACAAAGATTAAAATGACTGTGATTTTAATGGTAAAAGTCTGTAAAAATGCTACAGTAAAAACCTATTAATTGGTTAAAGGGTTAGTTCACCCAAAAATGAAAATTCTGTCATTAATTACTCACCCTCATGTCGTTTCAAACCCGTAAGACCTTCGTTCATCTTCGGAACACAAATTAAGATATTTTTGATGGAATCTGAGAGCTCTCTGAATCTGCATAGACAGCAACACAACTGAAATGTTCCCAAGTTCATAAACGTAGCAAGGAGATCTGTAAAATAATCCATGTGACATCAGTGGTTCATCTGCAATTATACGAAGCTACGAGAATACTTTTTGTGCGCAAAAGAAAAAGAAAAAAACGACTTTATTCAACAATTCGTCTTTGTGTGACTTTCTCATCACCACCTGCATTTGGTGGTTATCAGTGTATTACAAAGGTACAAAACAGATTTCAGTGCTTCCATAGGTTGGTATATTAACATAATATCAGATAATAAAATTATGGCATTTAAATGTAAATTTTTTTTTTCTTTTGCGCACAAAAAGTATTCTCGTAGCTTCGTATAATTGCAGTTGAACCACTGATGTCACATGGATTATTTTACCGATCTCCTTGCTACGTTTATGGACTTGGGAACATTTCAGTTGCGTTGCTGTCTATGCAGGGTCAGACAGCTCTGATTCCATCAAAAATATCTTAATTTGTGTTCTGAAGATGAACGAAGGTCTTACGGGTTTGAAATGACATTTTTGGGTGAACTAACCCTTTAACTGTAATTTCCCCTACTATATACGATGAAAAACTGTATTGGACATTACATGTAATTTTACGGTATTATACCATTTTTGGAAGTGAAAAAGAACGTATAATTTACAGTGAATAACCGTAAATTGACATTCCCAGAATTCCCCGCGTTACATTTCACATTTGATGTTTTTTGTTGAAAGGAGTTTTTTCATTTTTCGGATTTTTTTTTTTTTTTTTTTACAGTGAACTTTCTCAAAAGAAAGTTATTTAAGATTAAATAAAAAAAAAAATGTACCAAACATTTTCCAGTATGTGGGTCACAGTCATTGGACAGGCCATTGCAGTTGCACGGCACACACCGTCCCTTATGTGGTCCACTTCGCTCACTGTAATAACCACGATCACAGTCCTGAAATGGTGCAAATGCAGACAAAATCATCATATGAGATACAAACATGTGCAGATATATTGGAAAACCTTACAATGGTATACTTTTGGCTAAAACACAATGTTTTTGCCACAGTTAATGACCATTTACACATTCCAAATGACAAAAAGAGGAAATTTTTAAAGAATCATTATGGAGTTGTTTCATAGTTTCTGCATAGGGGCTATGGTTTGTACAGCTCATTGAAAACACCTACAAGCTGGGAACCTGGACTTTAACCCTGAAGGTACAATATTACTTCACAAAATTGACATAAAAAGACAGACCACTGCAACAACTTGAATGCTCTGCATATTCCAACAGAAAATGGGGGTTAGTTTCTTCACTTTCTGCGGTTTATGCTGGCAGCGTGCCAGTGCGTTCAAGCTAAATCTTTTATCTGACATACCTTAAGAAAAACATGTTTGAACTTGTTTGGCCTGGGGGTCCTAAAATTGCATACACGAATGGTTTACTTTGGAACGTTCCGTCAGCGAGTTGATCTAAGATTCGCAATCCGAGTCTTTTCTGTTCAAAAATGATTCAGTGGTTCTCTTACGTCATTGCGTGACATATATTTCTGCTAATAGTTTTATTGAAAAATTCTGTCGAAAATGTTTTTTTGTTTTTTTTAGATATTCAAAAGAGACGATAAGTAGGCGAGTTGTTAATTAGGTCTATTACGTTTGAAGGAGACTGTCATTTCGGTGAATCAGTGAATTTGTGTCACTGTTCGGATTGATTCAAACGAATCGTTTTTGTGAACTGGCTCAGGATTCACTGGAAAGCTCTAACTTGAACAATTTAAATAGAATAGTAGTAGTTGATGCATCAGCCCCGAGTAATCTAGTTCAGTTGTACTTTTAATTAAAAAAAATAAGAAATGAACAAAACATCACCGCTGAAACAAACATTATTTTACTGATCTTAGCTGATTTAAGGTGGATTTAGCTGCTTTAACAAAAATGAAACAGGCTGGTTTAAGACTTTTTTCTTTATTTCTTTGCAGAAGGGCATTTTTACAACAACAATCTTACCTTAATGTGTGCTGAATCACAATACTTTCTGAAAATATGCCCCCATGACTGTTGATCGCTGTGTTTTTTGACTTGAATATCATTGTCCCACCAGAAAGTCGTTGGACGTCCCAACTCATCTGCAGATACCCATAGATCCAGACAGAACAGCAGCAGTACTCCAGTCCACATCATTTGGACTCCCAGGAATAAGAACCTAGCCATTTATAAATGTACATGCCATATATGCATTTACTGCAACTCCATGCTCCTACAACAACAACCTACGTGTGATCTGATCTTCACCCCTGACAAAGTTCAAAAATCCCTTTCCTTCCTGTTTCTCTCTCCAGGTGTGTGATAGCAGTGTGTACAGAGGAGAGGTAGGGCAGTCATTTTTACACACATGCTGGCACCACCAATAGGAACTTCATAAATAATTAACTTTTAATGTCTCAGCTCTAACAATGTCAAATTTATTATGTGCATTTAGTTATTTATATTTGTTTTTAGTTTTATTTATTTATATTTGTATACACACACACACACACATATATATATATGTGTGTGTGTGTGTGTGTGTATATATATATATATATCTGTGTGTGTGTGTGTATGTGTATAAAACATCCTCACATTTTTTTACCTTTTATGTGCACCGTTGATACATGAAATGCACTGATTAATGTTTCCGCAACACTGCACAACAATAGCACCGAACCCGTCGTTGCAGCAACACAGTTATCTAGACACAACATTTAAGCACATGACCTTGTCTCCATTAGTAGCCTATTGTGAGAACAAAAGTCTTGTAGTCTCAAACAAATAAAAATAAATAAAAAAGTCAAACTAATATTAACATTTAACATCTTAACATTTTATAGAGTTAGACAGTGAAGTACAATATACATAAAATGTTCTACTTATACAATATATTATAGATTGTGTATATAAAATTTGTAAAAAAAACATTTTTAGTGAATTGTTGGCCTTCTGTAAAGTATGTTTATTTACTGTAGATGTACTCAATACTTGGTTGGGCCTCCTTTTGCATTAATTACTGCATCAGTGCGGCGTGGCATGGAGACAATCAGTTTGTGGCACTGCTGAGGTGGTATGGAAGCCCAGGTTGCTTTGATAGTGGCCTTCAGGTCATCTGCATTGTTGGGTCTGGTGTCTCTCATCTTCCTCTTGACAATACCCCATAGATTCTCTATGGGGTTCAGGTCAGGCGAGTTTGCAGGCCAGTCAAGCACACCAACACCATTGTTATTGAACCAGCTTTTGGTGCTTTTGGCAGTCTGGTCTTATGAAGTATTCTAATTTGTTGAGATAGTGAATTGGTGGGTTTTTGTTAAATGTGAGCCAAAATCATCACAATTAAAAGAACCAAAGACTTAAACTTCTTCAGTCTGTGTGCACTGAATTTATTTAATACACGAGTTTCACAATTTGAGTTGAATTACTGAAATAAATGAACTTTTCCACGACATTCTAATTTATTGAGATGCACCTGTATATACTTATATAAATACATACATGTGTGCATATATTTATATTATATATACAAATAAAAAAGTCATACTAATATAATAGAAAAAAATAAAATTGTTAATAAATAAAGTTAAAAGTGAATATAAAAATAATAGTATATTAAAATTAGTAGTTAATATAAATTACTATTAAATTATTATTTTAACAATATATTAATAACTTATAAAATCACTGACTTGTGTAAAATTTTTTACAAAATAGACTTACTATGTATATCAATTACATATCTTTTTTCTTTCTTTTTTCTTTTCAGGTTGGAAATTGAATCTAAGGAAGTGAAAATCTTACCTGAGCTGTAGAAGAGGAAGCTTGGATGATCGGCATCTATGGCGACAGTGATTGGACCGATGGTTGCCACGGCGTCAGCCAGTGCCTGTTCATCTCCGGCCGGGATGAATCTGTAATCACTGATCCTGGTGACAACTGAACTTCTGTCGTAGAAACAGGGCTGAGTATCCTGATGAAACCAGATCCGAAAAACACACATTCAGATTGGCCGAATCACACGAAAACATCTCAAAACTAACTCAAATGACCAAGAGCACTCACCGCTGAAGTATAGGGGTAAGTGTCAGAGCTCTCCAGCCCTTTATGGATCACGTAATCATAGGCGTTCGCCATCCAGGCTCCACTGCAGCCATATGTGCCATACGACCTGGAACAGTCCACCAGCTGCTGCTCGCTGAGGGACACCAACCGCCCCGTCCTCTTGAACATCTGCCCTTCAATGGCACCTGTAGTGCTAAAGGCCCAGCAAGACCCACAGTATCCCTGACAAAAACACGACAAATCAATTATTTTAGCATCTAACATACTGTATAATCATTTTCAACAGAAGGCCTACATGTGTGAATAAAAATACGCATATCAAGGATCAATTAAAAGAGAAATCCACCTGATCTTTGACTTCAGTCACATATCCTTGTGCTCGATAATCCACATTGGTCAATCCCAGTCTGTTAGCATTGACACGGAGCGTCTGAGCGGATGCAACCTTTCCTCTCCTGTTTATCGGTCCATTAATTGTGGCGCCCAGCAAAAGTTTGTACTCCATCTTGGTCTGAAGATGAGAAAAATGAGATAAAACATAATCTTAGACAACACAAAATCGACCAGAAAATAATGTTTTTGCAGGATGTTACATCCACACCACTTTAAAGGGTTAGTCTGCCCAAAAATGAAAATTCTGTCATTAATTACTCACACTCATGTCATTCCAAACCCGTAAGACCTTCGTTCATCTTCAGAACACAAATTAAGATATTTTTGATGAAATCTGAGAGCTCTCTGAACCTCCCATAGATAGCAACACAACTGAAATGTTCCCAGACCCAGAAATGTCGTAAGGACATTAGTAGAACAGTCCATGTGACATCAGTGGTTCAACTTCAATTTTGCGAAGCTACGAGAATACTTTTTGTGTACAAAAAGAACAAAAAGAACATAATTTATTTAACTGTTCTTCTCCCCGAGTTACCGTCTTCCACCAATTTGGAGAGTAACCCAATGCATGCACACGCTTTCCCCAGAATGTAATCAACGTAATCAGCATTGTTTACGTTCAGGAGAAAGCGTATTCTACTTATATAAGTAGACTTATATAAGAACTCTGGGAGAAGAATAGTTGAATAAATTATGTTCTTTTTGTTCTTTTTGCGCACAGAAAGTATTCTCGTAGTATTCTTTTATCGATGTCCTTGCTACATTTCTGGGTCTGGGAACATTTCAGTTGCGTCGCTGTCTACGGAGGTTCAGAGAGCTCTCAGATTTCATCAAAAATATCTTAATTTGTGTTCTGAAGATGAACAAAGGTCTTACGGGTTTGAAACGACACGAGAGGGAGTAATTAATGACAGAATTTTCATTTTTGGGTGAACTAACCCTTTAACAAAGATAATACAGCAGTTTCAGAAATTTTCAATCGTTTTACTTACGAGGTCACCGTATTTGTTCATTGCCATGTTAAACGTCGATAATCCGAAGCGGAACTCATCGTTGTTTTTCTCAATCATTCGCAGATTGGTCTCCCAGATGATTTGTCTCTGAATGTCGTCACTCTACAGTCATAAAGTCAAACTTTAATATAAAGTCAAACGCAGTGCATAACATACATATAACATATAATCCACAACCACAAACTGACTTAAACTACATGTTTATACAGGATTAAATGTCTCACCAGTGTTTCAAACCTTTTTATTTTTAAAGGAACAACTGACCCCAAAATTACTGTTTTACTCTCTTTTTTTGCACTATAAAAAGTGGTAAGTGGCAAGTAAAACTTTTAATTTTAAAAGGTTTTTTTTTGTGTGTCTTCGAAATGTTCCCTGTTATGTTTCACTTAGCAGGAATATGAGTAAAAAAAATGACAAATACATTTTTATTTTTGGGTGAACTGTCCCTTTAAGACACCCAAATGATTCTAACCGACCTCCTCATCGTAGGATATTTGATGAAGCCTTTTCCACAATGCCCAGTCTGAGGGGGCTTCCTCTTCTGAATCTGCTGCCACCTGCAGAGGTGCCCACATCAGGAGAGCAAACAGCGCCACCCAGTGTGCTTGATACGCATCTATACAAAACATACATTACATTTAAACAAACATTAGCTTTATCACTTTGGATGACCTAAAAGCTTTTTTTTGTGGTTGGTTGACAAACAAACAAACAAGAATAGGGAGCACAATTAAGGTTCCTTTTCAATTTTTAAAAAATTTGTTTAAAACTAAATATTTCGCGTAAATAAATAACTAAATTAACATAAATAACTAAAAATGTAGTCATTTTTAATAACTAAATCTTTATTTTTCTGAATCCTGTTATAATATTTACACAGGTCTAAAACAAACATATGATTATTTGCTATATCACTTTGGATAACCTGAAAGTAGAGTTTTAATTAATTAATTTATTTATTTTAGTTCTTATTCTGAGACTGATTCACTTTTACAAAAATAAATAAGTGAACAAATATATAAATAAAAATAGTGAGCACTAAATAAATAAATAAATAAAGCAAAATTTAGAAAGACATAGTTGGAAAGGGTTGAAAAGAAAAACAAAACTTTGATAAATAAAATTAAATTAATTTTAAACATTAGCCCAATTTAGGTTACATTTTTGTTTCAGCAATTCAATTTAAATAAATATTTAAACAACTAAACTTGTTTATAATATTTAAAAATGTTGTCTTTATCACTTTAAATAACTTTAACGTTTGGTGTGTGTGTAAAGTTCTTATTCTTAGAATGATTCACTTTTAGACTGATTCTTTTACAAAATAAATAATTAAAATAAAATTGGAAAATAATTATAAAAAATAAAAAAAAAGCCCAATGTAGATTACATTTTTGTTTCAGCAATTCAATTAAATACTTAACATAAATATTTAAACAACTGAGGTTGTTTATAATATTTACACCGGGTCTAGAATGAGCACTTTATTACTTTGTTTAACCTGAAAGTTTGTGTTTTTTTTTAAGTTCTTATTTTTAGACTAATTCAGTTTTTCAAAATAAATAAATAGAGCCCAATATAGGAAAGATTTTTGATTCAGCAATTCAATTTAAAATAAATGTTTATATATGCTATTATATTTATAATATTAATATAGTTTTTTTTTTTGTCAAAAATATTAGGTTTTATTTTTGGTCCAGCAATTGAATTTAAATAACTAAATATTTCACATAAATATTCAAACCACTGAACTTGTTTCTAATGTTAACACGAGGTCCAAAACAAATGTGTGTTTCCTTCCAGACTTACC